CTTCCTTCCTTCCTTCCTTCCTTCCTTTCCTTCTTTCTTTCTTTCTTTCTTTCTTTTTTTCTTCCTTCCTTTCTTCCTTCCTTTCTTTCTTTCTTCTTTCCTTCCTTCCCTTTTTTTCATTCCTTCCTTCCTTCTTTCCTTCCTTCATCCCTTTCTTTCTTTCGTTCTGTCATTCTGTCTTTCTTTCTTTTCTGAGACAGGGTTCTCTGTCTAACAGACTTGGCTTTCTTGGAATTAGTTCTTGTAGATCATGCTGGCCTAAAACTCAGAGAACTGCCTTCCTCTGCCTCCTGAGTACTGAGATTAAAGGCGTGATTCCTCCACCGCCTGGCACAGAAAAAAAATTAATTTTGCCTTTTTGTTTTGGACTCAATTCATAGCTATGCTTAGCTACACGTACCTGCATATTGCCCTTGGGCCATAGGGTGGTCACAGCTGTCAATGATCACATACTGCTTCCATGATGTTCTGCCACACCACAGCCCAGAACAGAGACCTAAACATAGATTTGAACTTCTGAAAATGATCAAAAAATTAATCTATTTTTCTTTTTTGAATCATTTAAACATTTGTGACAGTAGTAACCTAACTCATAGAGTAGGTTTGGGAGGAGCCAGAGTGTTTTGGTTGATCTGAAGATCTTTGAAGCTGTTTGCAGTGGTGAGTCACAGGGGTCACACAGTGAATAAGAATGAAGGAGGAGTAGCTGTGCCTTGCACCTCTTAGCACAGGTTCTGCAGTTGACTTAGATAGTTCCTTTACCTTGGGCTTTGAGTAGGAAATACTCCATCCCTAGCCTACAGTGGTTTTCTTTAGGTATCTGCCATGCTTTTGTAGCCCCTCCCTTTTCTCCTTGTAGCAGTAGGCAAGTCCAGTGCCCTAATGGTCAACCAAAGGATAAATTTAGTCTTATCTAGTCCCTTCCTACCTCATTCCTGGCACATAGGCTGCCAAGTGGTTGGAACCTCCCCCCCCATCAACCTGTAAGAACAAAAACACCAGCGTTCTTGTCAGATGGTTTATTGTAACTCTGAAAATTAAACAGAATACATCTGAAAAGTAATTAGTCTCAGTTTTCCATGGGACCTATTTGAAATGCAAAAAAAAAAAACTCAGGACATTATTGACTGCTACACTTGTTCATTATTATCGCTTGGAAAAAGAATATCCAAGCATACTCTGTTGGTGCTGGGAACAGGTAAAACGCCCTTGTCCTAAGTACTGCCATTTTGACTTCAGATTACATTATACCTGTAGGGTGAAAAAAGTTCAGGTTTCCAATAGTTGATGTACCTCCTTCTTACCATAGAAAGTCATAATGCATTTTTAGTTCTCTAGAAACATTAGGGCTGTTCCCATCAACAAAAAGAACAAGTGAATCTGATTGGTTGGACTGAAAAGCTTGTATTATATATGGATTGACAACTGAAGGAACACTTTAGGAAAGCCCCCAATCTTTGGAATTCATACTGGTGAAAAATTCTAACTAGAGTTTGGCAACAAATGCTTGGGATATTTGGGCTTAAATATTTGCTTCAGTTGGCATTTGGGTGACAGATTAGCTCCTGAATCTGTTCTCTGGCCCTGACTGATTAGCCCCATCCTGCCCCTGCACATGCCCTGCCCCTTTTATTTGTGATTCCTTGTATTAAATTCTGCTTTCCAAATCTTCTTGTGTCTGTTTGGGTTGATTTGGAGCCTCAGACCACAATATTGGATCATGTCAGTGTTAATTGCTTTCCTCTATGCCCTCAAGTAAAATATTCTTTACAGAATAAATTGCCATGCCAGCAATGATTCTTTGTTGTTCATGAGGGTCCTACTTGGGTGGTATAAGCTTTAACTTTAGGGACCCAGGGATTTAGGTTAGTTCTTGAATTTTCTTGTAAAACTACCCCCACTCCAACTTTCACACAAAACCATGGGTGGAAACAATTCCTAGGATTCACGTGGGAATATCAATACTTGGACATCACCCAAGGCTTACAGCAGATAGGATTCCTGGGAAAGAATATGAACTCTCCACTCAGATGATGCAACTGGACAAGATTCTGAAAAACAAAAGGATACTACCTGAGGGCTTCCCATCTGCCTAGTGGTACCACAGGAATGGCTGACTCACAGATGTGGCCACATGCCCAGTAGCCTCTCTATACACATTCTTGGAATGGGACTGTCAGGAGCCATTTCAGGCTTCCCCTTTCTCACATCTGACAGGGCCTTGAAGTAAAAATCTTGAGATAGAAAACTTAAAGTTAGCCAAAACATTACTTGCTGACCGTGGAGACTCAAGCTCTGGAAAGCACCACAAAGTGTCTTCAAGGCTTGTTGCTTATCACTAACAGCAGGTGTTCTAGCTACTGACCTTGCAACTGCCCTGCTTAGCTGCCAAACTGCCCCACTTAGTTGGCTAGCTACTGAGCCCCTCCTTCCCTTTCCCCCTTCTCCCTTCCTCAGTTCCCCCTTGCCCTAGCTCCTTTCTGAGGAGTATTTAAGACATGAAACTTGCTTAAATAAAGGGGATGCCTTGACAAGGAATACTGCTTGGCTTCCGTTTTTCTCTCCCCCCATGTCTTTCAGATAGTGCCTCTTCAAGACCCTGGAGTAACTTAGGACCTGCTGGGCGGGTCAAGTGGCGCCCGAACAGGGACCAGTGGCGCCTGAACCAAGGACTTGAAGCATGGCCTCCTATCGGGCACCCCGGGACCAGGAGAAAAAAGGAGATTCTGCAGCTGTAGGACTCGGACAGATCTGCAGGACAAGGTAGGTGCAGGATTATTGTCGCCCCACAGACATGGCCATTTTCTTTTTCTTTTTCTTTCTTTCTTTCTTTTTTTTTTTTTAGATAGGGTTTCTCTGTGGTTTTGGAGCCTGTCCTGGAACTAGCTCTTATAGACCAGGCTGGTCTCGAACTCACAGAGATCCGCCTGCCTCTGCCTCCCTAGTGCTGGGATTAAAGGCGTGCGCCACCACAGCCCGGCACACATGGGCATTTTCAAAGGAATAGAAATTTAGACAAGAATTTAAGCAATCATTCGGGGAGAGAGCAGTAAGAGTTAAAAATAAACATTTAATAGACTTCTTATATTTTATTGATGAGAAATGCCCTGGTTGGTGTTGACAGGGGCAGGAATTCACCCCCAGGCATGGGGCAAGCATTTGGTAAACAGGTGATCCTGAATGAGCTCATTTTTATGTCTCTCTGTTTGTGTATTGTGTTTCTGTTTCTGTGTAATTGTGAATCAATAATTTGAAAATTGTACCTGCGCAGGGTCTGTATTGAAACAGGACCAAGAGAGGGGACAGACGTGTCCCAGACCTCTGGCCCTGAGCCCTGAAAGACATTTCATGGGCATTTGTGGGAGGGAGGAGTGACCAGGTCGCTCGCCCTAGTCCCCGGGGGAGCTGTGATCCTCCAGCTGTATTTTTGGATCTGATGCCGCGCGGCTTCTGATTTTGAGTCTATGTCTGTCTTTTTGTTCTTGTGTATTTTCAGTTCTGTACCAGAGTGGTGGCGAGAGCAACAGCTTCTGGATTTGTTCTTATGTATCAGTTTGTCTTTGATAAAATGGGACAACAATTAACTACCCCTTTAACCCTGACTTCAGATCATTGGAAGGAGGTTAAAGATCAAGCTCATAATTAATCTGTTAAAATTCAGAAGAAATGCTGGCAGATGTTCTGTTCCTCAGAATGGCCCTCTTTTGAGGTAGGCTGGTTGCAGGACGGGACATTTAACTTGGATACTATCTTACAGGTCAAGGAAAAAATCTTTCAAACCTGCCCACATGGCCACCCAGACCAGGTTCCCTACATCGTTACCTGAGAAAGCTAGATTTTTATACTGTGGTGCCTGAAAATGTAAAACTACTGGGGATGCTTATTGAAAACCTAGTTCTTCTTGGGACTGGATAACTGTTCGTAAAAATTATACTTCCAAAGCAAAGCTCCATGTGAAGCACAAAAACCTGTGACATCTCCCACACTTGTCTCCCAGGGGCAAGCAACAGGACTGTCTCCATGGGTGTCAGGAAGGACTTGGGGCATGCGATGGTATTTCCCAAACAGGATACAGCAGCAAGATTTAGGTGCCACCTTCACCATTAAGCTAAAGGTAGAAAACCAAGTACTACCTGACCAGAGAGCCTGCTGTTGCTGGCTGGACTAAGCTACTCTCCCTGCTTCTTTGCCAGCACCTCCCACCACCAACCAAGAACTATTCAACCTTGTGCAGGGAGCCTTTTTCTTGCTAAATAGTACTGACCCCAGCTTGACACAATCTTGCTGGCTATGCCTGTCAGCAGGATCTCCCTATTATGAGAAAATAGCCTTATCTGGCAGTTTCAACACTCATACATCCTGTAGATGGGGGCAACAGAAAAAGTTAACCTTAACAAAAGTATGTTGGGGACTCCAACCCCTCAATATCAGTACATGTGTAACCTAACTCTCCTAAATCACAAGAGGACAGGAAACTGGTACCTGGTACTCTTTATTGATCTATGATGAGCCTACAACATTGGTTTAACCCTTGTATCTCTGATGATACTGCTAATTTCTGTGTATTGATCCAATTAGTCCCCCAAAGGATATTCGGCCAAATAAGAGGGGGAAATGTAGAACTTTAAGAAAAATCTGAAGCCATTTCTGACGACTCTCTGTACTTCCCCACCTCCCCTGGGAACCAAGGACATAACAACTATACATGCATGTACTGAGATGTTGAAAACTTTCCATCTCCCTGAATAGGGGCATGATAACCCTTAGGTGTTGACTCAGTTACTGATGTTTTGACTTAGTCCCTGGGAAGGGGCAAAGTGACCCTCAGAAGTTTCCCTTTACTTCATCTGATCTGGCAACCACTCTCCAGCTAATTATTGGTAATAGCCTTTTTGAATAAGCCAATCATAATAGTTAAAGAACAACTCCCTGCCATACTGAGCAGAAGCTTCCAGGCAGGTTTGCAAAAAGGACACTAGCCTCCAAAAACTACAGCTTCAGGACAGTAAAAGGAAGGTAAATATGCTTCTTTTCCATTTTAAAATTTTTCTTCTTGGCAAAAAATCTTTAGTTTGTAGGCATATAAATTTTTATCCAGGTAGGTTAGTTTCAATACTATGGTCCTATGGGAAAGTTTTAAAATCAAAGATTGTAATACATTCAGAGGATTTTAAAAATTGTTTAGGCTATCCTGAGTTCTTGTCTTTTCCTTATAAAGTTGAGGATTGGTCTTTCATATTGCTATAATTTTTAATGGACGTTTACTCTGAATCTGTAGATTGCTTTCAGTGAGATTGTCATTTTTGCTTTGTTTCTTCTATTTTCCCAAGAAAATAGGAGATCTTTTTATTTTATAATGTCTTAAATTTTTCCTTCTTAAAAGAGTTAAAGTTCTTATCATACAAGTTTTTCCATTAGTACGGTCTGCTCCTGTATGGGAGTCGAGTTGTCTCAGCTTAAACTCCTTTCTTGCTGCCAGGTGTTGCGTTTGTGTCTGTCTCTTTCTAAACTTATCAAGGACCAGAGTTATACTCTAACAAGGGATAATGGTTGAAAATAAAAAAACAGTTCCCCCTTCATAAGCAGAGATGACAGGACCCAAACTTCTGTCCTGCTTGCTTAGAGTTACTCCAAGATATTTTGTGGTATTCATGGCTACTTAAAAAAGAGAATGTCTCTTTTATCCTAGGTGTAAAAGAGATACATTTGGGTTGTTTTCAGAATTTGGCTATGATAAAGTTATTCTGCTATAAGCATAGCTGAGCACAGGTCCTTATGGTATGGTTAAACAACTTTTGTATTTAGGCCCAAAAGGGGTATTGCTGAGTTTTAAGGTAGATATTTGCCTAATTTTAAAAAATAACTATACTATGATCCCAAACTGGCTGTGCCAGTTTGCACTTCCAGCAATGAAGTTTTTTCTTACCCACATTTTTTAAGCAAAAATTGTTAATAGTAATTTTTAATCTTGGTCATTTTTTACAAGGATAAGATAAAACCTCAGAGTTTTGATTTGCATTTCTCTGATGGCTAAAGGATGTTATGTTTGAACATTTTTTAAATGTCTCTCAGTCATTTTTAAGTTCATCTGTTAAGAGTTTTCAGTTAATGTCTGTAACAAATATTTTTATTAGATTAATTTTTTGATACTAATTTCCTGAGTTCTTCATATGTTTTTGGAATGGGTTTATGATAAGTAAAGATCTTTTCCCATTCTATAGACAAATATTATGTTTGGTATACAAAAGTTTCTCAGTTTAGGAGATCTAATTGTGTCTCCCAATGTTTGTGCCACTGAGGCTATGTTTGAGATGTGGCAAAGTGTACTTCTAATTTTTTCTCTGTGAGGTTCAATGTAATTTTTATATGCTGAGGCCTTTGACTTATTTAAACTTGATTTTTGTACATGGAGATGGATATGGATCTATTTTTATTCTTCTACATGTTGAAGTCTAATGAGGCCAACATCATTAGTTAAAATGCTTCCTTTTTCCATTTTCCTATCTGCAAGGAAGACTTGGAACTTAAGAGGAGAATAGCTTACAAACTTCTAATTAGATATACAATGGTTAAAACCCTAGTTGTTATATTTCTATGGGAGATATTGAGCTGCTAGGTAAAATTCTTACAAAAAACAACGAGCCAGTTTCAATAGAGAGCTTAAAGAAGCTGCCTAACAGGTACTCAAGCAGGTAAAGTATAAATTAACAGGTAAAGTATACAATAATTAAAAAGTATAGTATATTAATTATGATTCAGCTATGACAAATATTGTATTAAATATAAAACTTATTCTACAACGGTTTTATGAAAAAGCAAAATGCTGTTTATGGCTAAACCTTCCCAGTTTCGCCAATTAAGATTTTAAACTCTTAATTTAAAACAGTAACCTGTCTGGTACAAAAGGGCAGGATAAAATCTGGGAGATGGTTTAACAGAATATTGACTCTTATACTAAACAATAGATTCATTAATAATTTTAAGATTGATGCCTGGACAATTATATTTACTCAGTTCAAAGGCCAGAATAATAATCTTTTCCCAGATGATCATTACTACAATTCACACAACTGTATTTTGCTAATGTTATAGCTAAAATTCCCTTAAAGGATTTTATGATAAATTTTACAAATGGCTCTTCCAAAGGAAGAACTACATAGATGGTTAATAATAATAATTAAAAAAAATATTTATGGAGCGTACCAAGGCTCCTTTAAAGCAACTTATAAAAGTTACAAACAGATCCTGATACAAACGGATCTGACATGATGACACCAAGCTTTACTAAGGCAAGGTAAAAAAAACCCTTGCAATGCATTAACGAAAAGACCCGACCTATATATATTTGGGGTCGAGGATATGTTTATGCTTTTTTTTTCACAGAAAGAAAATAAAAGCTAAACATGATGTCATAGCTGCAAACACCCCATAAAGAAGTTCCAGAAATGAGTTGGGGGAGGAGTCCTTGATCCATCTTCCCTGCCCCCACAGAGAGAAATGCATGGTGGCGGGGCCTGCTACACAGTTCTGAGGGTGTTGTTCTGCCTCCAAAGAGTCCAAGGAAACCCCAATGGGATGGTTGCCAAGATGTGCTTCCGGTGGCTGGGTTCAGCTTGCCTCGCCCAGGAGTCCCACCTGCCATGAGGCACTTTGGAGCTAAGATGCAGACTAAACATCTGACTGTTTTAATCTTTGGGACACAAAACTCATTTTGATTAAAATATTAACCCCTCTTCACTTAAAAAGGGGGAAAATTGGGGTTTTATCTGTTGCTCAGAGACTGGAACTGGTGGTATTTGATAACAACAATGTCTGTCATTGTGCTCTTACTGGAATTGACCTAACGCTGTTTGTAACTGCTTATAGATGTTGGGAAAAGTTTGACACACCCTGTAAAGTGTTTGGGTTTAATGCATATGTTAAAAATTTTTAGATTTTGATTCCTTCTCTAACCTTACTAACCCACCTCCTCAACCCTGGAACGCTTGGAACAGGATCTTTGGTAGAAAAAAAATAGGTTAAAACATGTCTCATGACTCTCTGGCCCTCCCTCCTAAAAGAGCTCCTTGCAGTTTTTTCATTGATGATTCACGCAGAGGCCCAATGACGGGAATATTGTGGAGCCCTCCCCTGAACAGCACATCATACAGAGGCTGTTTAGGCCAGTTCAACATGGCATGGTGTCAGATGACCAGGATCGCCCTCCACATAGCCTAAGCCAGGAACCCTGTGGTCAAAGGTCAAAGACCTGCTTACCTTGGTCTTGCTGAGGAGTGAAAAAAAAAAAAAGGAGCATATGTCAGGAGCCATTTCAGGCTTCTCCTTTCTCACATCTCACAGGGCCTTGAAGTAAAAATCTTGAGATAGAAAACTTAAAGTTAGCCAAAACATTACGTACTGACCATTGAGACTCAAGCTCTGGAAAGCACCACAGAGTGTCTTCAAGGCTTGCTGCTTATCACTAACAGCAGGTGTTCTAGCCACTGACCTTGCAACTGCCCTGCTTAGCTGCCAAACTGCCCCACTTAGTTGGCTAGCTACTGAGCCCCTCCTTCCCTTTCCCCCTTCTCCCTTCCTCAGTTCCCCCTTGCCCTAGCTCCTTTCTGAGGAGTATTTAAGACATGAAACTTGCTTTAATAAAGGGGATGCCTTGACAAGGAATACTGCTTGGCTTCCGTTTTTCTCTCCCCCCATGTCTTTCAGATAGTGCCTCTTCAAGACCCTGGAGTAACTTGGGACCTGCTGGGTGGGTCATGGGACCTTTCATTTTTTCCCTCCAAGAGCCCTTAGAAAGATTTGTGAGAACATTTTTCTTTTTAAAGCCAAAGGTGATTAGCTTATTTTCCCCCACTGAAAGTTGTAAGCCCCACAAGGACGAGTATTTTTTGAACCTCTCTTTTGTGTTAGACCATGCAGTGTTCTTCTTCCTGCTCCCCTTCCTTCCCCCTAGCCCAACTCCCATCCACTCCTCACAATGGGTAAGGTTGTGATGCCCAAGTTTCTGGTCCCCAAATGAGTTCATGGAGCAGAATTTCCAACGCAAATTACATGAGGGTTTTTAATGGTATTCACTCTCNCCAACACTCAGGAGGCAGAGGCAGGTGGATCTCTGTGAGTTCAAGACCAGCCTGGTCTACAGAGCGAATTCCAGGACAGCCAGGGCTACACAGAGAAGCCCCGTGTGGAGATTTGAAAAAAAATAACAAGGTGGTTTGAAAGTTCATAAAAAGTGCTATAAAACAATAAAAAAGGTGTGACAGCCAAGACAAAGTCTAGCACTTGGGAGGCAAAGGCAGGGAGATCCTGAGGCCAGCCTAGGCTAGAGACCCCTGTCTTAAAAAAGAGAGGAAAAAGAAGAGGAAGGGAAAGAGGGAGAAAACATACAAGGCTGAGGGGGTATCTCAGTGGCGGACCATTTGTCCAGCATGAACAAGGCCACATGTTCAATGCTATCACAAACAAAACTAAACAACTCAAATATACCTATACTCTAACACATTCATATCTTGCCTCCAACCCTACACACCACACAAAAGGGATTTTACCATTTTATTAGAATTGAAAAAACAACAAAACAAAACCAGAATGAACTAGGGAAGGAAATGATTTAAAACAAAACCCAGAGCAAAGATGAGGGAGGACAAAGGGAACGGCGGACCTGTGAGCCCAAGTCGGCAGAAGAAAGATGTTTCTAAGGAGCAAGCGTCTACTTGATGACAATTTTCTGCCGCAAGGTCCGGGGCCCAGAGCCAGGGAGTGGCTCAGGGGCCGGGGGACCGGGGCCGAGGGCCGAGGCAGTGGGTGGCAGTCCATGGGCAGTGATGTACTTCTTGTAGGCCTCACAAATGATCTTGAAGGCTCGAGCAGTTGCATCGGGTGTGTCTGTAACAGGATCGTGGTACAAAGCTGGACGGTGGGTCACTGGGCAGACCTACCGAAGAGGGACCTTTGGGGATCGCCCTTGGGGAAACCCCTCTTCAAATGTTGCATCATCACTAAATGTGATGAAGGTGTGTGAGCAGTGAGCAGGAGCACCGGCAGCTCCATTCCCAGCGTGCGCAGTCAATGCAGAAGCTGCAGGAGCAGGATCAAGTCCTTACACGTCCACATTCTCCTCCTTGGGACCGGGCTCCCCAACAAGTGGCACCGTCATTGAATGGTAGGTGATGATTGGCCCAGGGCACTTCCGCTTCTTGTGAACCTGCTTCTTTTTGTCGGCCTCAAGACTTTCATAGGTCTCTAGCGAATGTAAATTCAGCTCTTTTGTGATCTTGGCCTCCCTGAGCAGCTCTTCCTGGGTGAGTGGTCGATCACAGTGGGGACCTTGTCCCTGCCTCTCTTGAACCCGAAGGAAAGTCTGTCGCGTGTGTTTAGCTGTAGACTGATGCACAGACTTCTGACTGTCAGAGCCATCTTCCTGTAGCTCCAGGGGCAGCAGTGCCTTCTCTCTGGCCTTCTGAGAGCTACCTGCTGAGGTGCTGACCTTTCAAGGCCTCAAGCTTTTTAGAGGCTCTTTATAGGCTTTGGTGACAACTATGTGCTTCCTCCTTGGCTCTTCTGCTTCTCCGTTACTAGATGGTTCATCTCCTTCATCAAATGTCTACTTAGAGTACATCTTATCTGAGTTTCCTAAGGGTTTAGGACTCAGCAAACTGAGACATCCTGTGACTTTGGGAATTTGCATTGGCATTGCCTCTTTGGGAAGCTTAGGTAAGAGGTTTTGTTTTGTTTTGTTTTTCGAGACAGGGTTTCTCTGTGGTTTTGGAGCCTGTCCTGGAACTAGCTCTTGTAGACCAGGCTGGACTCGAACTCACAGAGATCCTCCTGTCTCTGCCTGGGATTAAAGGCGTGGGCTACCACCGCCGGCTAGGTAAGAGGTTTCGTTATACGGAAATTGACTAGCTAAAGGTGTGAATTGTATGACAATAAAAAAGTCCCTTTCTAAGTTAGACCCAGTCAGATTGCCAGTGGCTGGCTTCCCTGTAACCGGAAAGGGTAAAAATCATCCTGGAGTGTTGGGCCAAAATTATCTCAGGGCCTGCACCTCGAGGCCTCTGGGACAGAGAAAAGCCTGGCTCCAGTTCAGGCCCCAGACTTTAAGGCCTGTAGGACAGAGTTTGAGTGAGGATGGGATAGCAAACACTAGGTAGACACCCTTCCAGCCAGCGGGAGGTTTGACTGGAGGTACCCTAATGTCACAGGATGTTGTTTAACCTTTATAAGCGGATGCTCACAGTAATAAACAGTTCCTGCTTTGACTCAACTCCCCATTGTGACTGATTGCCCTGTGTCGTGGGGCTGCAGAATGGTCCCATAGTGCACTCACCTTTCCCTGGAGAATAGGGAGGCTCAGGAAGCCTAGCACTGGAGTGCCCCCATTTCTTCTTTCCTTAGACCTGCGTGAAGCCACCTACCCTTCTCACCAATTAGCCAAATGCATCAGATTATGAAGCTGATCTCCCACCAGTGGGATAGGATGCAGTCAGCATTATCACTGAGGATAAGTGGGCTGGCTAGTCAGGTTTGGGCTCTGTGCATCTTTTCTACAGAAAGAATTGTCTCCCTGAGACACTTGCTTTGCTGCTATGTCTTCTGTGTGACACAGATTATTTGTTCCTAACAGGAAGAATCTCTGAAGGCTTGTTCTTTCAATTTATTAATATTAATTTTCCTTAGTAAAAACATACTCTTAGAGTGTGTGAAGTGTGAGTACAGGTGTATGTGCACCAGGGAGAACAGGTAAAGGTCAGAGGATAACTCTGAGTAGTCAGTTCTCTCCTTCTATGGTGGCTTCTGGGGATCCAACTCTGGTGATCAGGCCGGCAAAGCAACTGCCCACACCCACTAAGCCATCTTGTTAAATCTGTCACCCATTATTTCATGAGTCCTAATACTCACAAGGACTTTAATGAAAGCTCAAGCACCCCCAGACTCATGAGTCAGTCTAGGTGGACTGACTTTCTTTTCTTTTTCTTTGTATTCCCTTAGGGTACGAAGCTACCAGGTCAAGGAAGAACGAGTAGATGGACTATGCCAACTCAGTTTCTCCACCTTCCCACTTAAACTGATGCCCTATCCCTATCACAATAGCACATGCTAGGCTTCCAGGGGGTCTTTCTTGTTTAAAAGTCTTCCCTAAGTCAAGCAGTTTAGACACAGTTTTCTGTATGAGACAACCAAGCTATCCATCTGCATGCCAGTACAGATTTTCTTCTATAGTAAAAGTCAGCCCTGTAGGATGTCTTCTATCACTTCTACTTTCCTTTCCTTACTGCTCAATTCTTTCCACGGACTCCAACTTCTGTGATCCCAGGAAGGCGTCTTCAGTACAGGTGTAATTAGCAGCCTTTTCCCCCTTGGATTTAGCCTGCTATAATAGCAGTCACACCTGTATTTCATCCACTCCCTCATTTCCACAATTTCCTGCTAAGAGCACATTAGTAACAGGCGGCAGTATTATGCTTTTCTCTCTGTGATTCTCCTATTACACGGACGAGTTCACTATGGACAGGCAGTGGAGCCTGTTGTCTTTCAGCACCCACACGAAAGCGCACACAACCACCATAAACTACTTACAATCTGGTCCCAATCTGCTGTATGTTCTCTAGTACACTGACATTTGTACTAGTTATCCAGTCTCTTGTAGTGGACTCCAGTAAGGTGTGCCACCCCTCTCCATGCAGAGAAAGACTATCCCAATTAGTGTTAACTGGCAGCTTTACAAACTCAACAGTTATCAGACATGAGAACTTCAATTGAGGAATTGCCTAAATCAAATTGGCCTGTTGGGAAATATCTTAATTGGTGCAGAAGGGGCCCAGCCTACTTTGAGTGGCACATAGACAAGTGATTTGCATATAAGCTAGTAAAACATTAGCCTATAATCAAGCCAGAGAGTGAGCAAGCAAGCAAGAAGCATTCCTCTTTGGTTTCTGCCTAGAGTTCTTACCCTAACTTCCAAGTGTAAGATAAAATAAATCTTATCTTTTCTTTCTTTTTTTTTTACATTGTTTTTAAATTCTGTTTTTCAATTGAATGATAACAATGAATACAAGCAAAAAAATCGTGTCATATCTCTTCCATGATTTTTTTAAATATAATTTTTTATTGAAAAAAAATTTCCGCCTCCTCCCCGTCTCCCTTTTCCCCCCTCCTCCCTCTCCTCTCCCCCTCCCCCCACTCCTCTCCCCCTCCCTCTCCAGTCTGAGGGGCAGTCAGGGTTCCCTGCCCTGTGGAAAGTCCAAAGTCCTCCCCGCTCCATCCTGGTCTAGGAAGGTGGACATCCAAACTGGCTAGGCTCCCACAAAGCCAGAACATGAAGTAGGATCAAAACCCAGTGGCATTGTCCTTGGCTTCTCAGCAGCCCTCCTTTTTGGTCACTGTTTTAACACAGCAACAGAAATAAAGTTGCCACCCCAGACTTCTTCCCAAAGATACTCTACTTTCAGATGGCTCAGTCTTGTTTGCATGTCTTATCATTCGTATCAGACAGCATGGAATTACCACTAAAGCAAAGGAGACACACTATCTCCTGTATCAGCATTGCCCCCCAATTCCAATCTCACAAGGACTGGCTTGAGGAGTACATCTTAAATACCATACAGAACCCATGTAGCTAAGAGATCCTTGGTTCTGTTTGTCCCTATATGGGCACCTTTTCATGCTGTATGACTTTCTGTGGAGATGTAATTCCACAGATAGGGTGCGAGAGCCAAATTAAGGAAACAATTCCATCAAGCCTGGCTTGGCAAACCAACGGATTGCTCAAAGTTACTTAAAGGAGTAGGGATGACTCAGAGGTAGCTGTAACACCAAAAACCCTATCCCTGCATGAAAATAAGCTGCATTCTTGGGGTTCCCCTCCCACTTTATTGGCAGTTCCACACATACAGCAGCAATTGTTTACTACTCATATCCTGGGGGATGGCCCCTGAACATTTTGAGTCCTGAAGGTTTGACAAGTTTCCTGTTTCATTAGCTTCCTCTCCCGATGTCATTCAGGGCATCCTTGTGTCCTCTAGGAGATAATATTTCAATTCAGCAAATACCTATACAACAGTTCCCAAAAGATGCTCAACAGATAAGCTAGTATTAAAATAATGGACTGTCTTATGTTCAAATCAGGACTATACTATTATTAGCCAGAGAACTAGGGCAAGTGAACTGATGTGTGCCCTATTAACTTCTTCATTGGTAAACTGGGAGTAATGACAGAATACATTGATATTTATCCAGAGTACTCAACAGTTAATTATAAGGCATTCCCGCTTGTCTATGAGAAGCACTACATAGTGTTTGACCATTTATTATGAATGCATTATAGTACTTTGTTACGAAAAATGTGGTCCTTATATAAAAAGGAACACTTCACACAAAAAAGCACCCAGTCGTGTGTGCACCTAGTTACAGAACTTCAAAATAAAGAGAAAAAAATAACAAAATTATAAGAATGATAATTCATAATCACAGTGGAAGTCTGCTATGGCTCTATAACAAAATTATTTTAAAGGAAAACAATTTGTACATACCATTAAAATAGAATATTAATGTACATATATATACCCTACCTATATCAACATATAAGAGATTATATATTACTTTCAAAGAACTATGGTATCATTTGACAAATCTGTTTACCATTAGATACTGCATTAAGCTGGAACTTAACATCACCTCAAAAACAAACAGCAAATCATGTTGGCTTCCACCAGTAAAGGAGTTACTTTTAAACAAAACATGAATTTAAAAAAAATGTAAAACTAACATACTCAGTCAGAGGTTTTGGAGGAAATTCCTGTTCCACTGCTTATGTCATCATGATGAAAGCCAAACAGTTTTCCTCACTCCAGACCTTACAGCCACTTGCCAAGGGAAAACGTGAGAGGAACAGAAGATAAATGTGAAGTCAGGCTTTCTCTTCAGCCTCCAAAGTTCATGGTGCGTGTCTTTAAACGTCAAGAAATCCAGGAATATTATTCTAATACACTTTTAGATTAAAACAAAAACCTATTTGTTGTGGGCTGACATGAATGCATGTCAGACAACTTGTGGGAGTCTGAAGCACGACCCTAATTAGTCTTAATAAATAAAAACCCGGAGTCAGATACTAGGGTGAAAGCTGAAAGCTCAGGGGAGCAGAGCGGCAGCCTCTAGACTTCTTACCTCTAAGAAACCTCAGACCGAATCGGTGTGGAGAGGATCCTGTCTCTACAAATCCTCTGACTGAGTCAGGGAGATCCTGTCTCTACCTCCCTAGTGCTGGGATCAAAGTCTTCAGTCTCTTGTGTGCTGGAATCAAAGGCAAGATCCTGCCAAGTATTGGGATTAAAGGTATGAGCCACCACCACCACCAACTGGCTCTGTTTCTCTTTTAGACTGGTTCAATCTCAGGTAGCCCAGAGTGGCCTTGAACTCCTGACTTCCTGCTTTCTCCTCCCAAGTGCTGGGATTAAAGGTGTGTGCTTTTAGGCGCCTTTATTTATTTATTTATTTTTGTTTGTTTGTTTTTTGTTTTTGGAGCTGTGGTTTCTTACAGTCCTAGCTGTTCTGGAACAAGCTCTCACAGACCAGGCTGGCCTCAAATTCAGAGATCTGCCTGCCTCTGCTTTAAGAGTGCTGGGATTAAGGGCATGTGCCACCAGAGCCTACTTTTACTGTCTGGGTGCTGGGGAATGAACTCAGGTGATCAGGTTTGGTGGAGAGCACCTTCACCCATGGAGTCATCCTGATGGCCCTAAGCAGGACAAAATGGACACTAGGTAGAAAGAAGCAAAAAGATCAATATCAGAAAGTCCTATACTTTGACAAAAGCACTCCGTCAGACAGTTCCAGCTTGCATCAAATTCACAATTCACCTTGCCAGCCTCCCAACTGCTAGGATTACTAATGTGTGCTACCACACTCAGCCCTTGAAAATATAAACTATACATACACTGCACTGAAATTTGAAGGGCTGTTTTTGGGATGGGGTTATACATAATAAGCACACATGTTTATAAAACAAAGATTTAAAATTAATAAGCTGGTAACTGTGTAAGACGCTCATCCCTTATTCTCAAAGAAACCAGAAGAAATTTCCTAGCAGAGTGTTTTAAAGTCAAAAACCCCAGACTAGCTTCATGTTTCCAGAAATGATAGTGCCTCCCAAGCACAAGCACACCTGGCCACCTGGTGGAGACTGATAAAGATGTCCTGACTCAGGGACAGTGTGACCTTGCTCTAAAGATAAAACAAGCTGACAAAACAGGACAGGAAAGAGCAGACCTTGGACCTGTGCTAACCTCCCCCTGACTATCCTGAAGGGCTTGTGGTTTTTGCCTTTAAAAAGCTAACCCCACAGAGGGTCCCTAGCTCCTCCCTGCCTCGAATGTGGAGATGAGTTCCGAGCTAGCCCATATTACGCTTTTGTAGTCCAGACTTCTCTGGCTTTTGGTGCTCTCTCTGGGGGTTGTAATCTGGGCACAACTGAACCTACAGAACTGCCTACTCATCCATGTCATTTCCAGTGTATTATTACACAGTTGCTCAGCCAGAGCTGATGCTGAAGCATCCTTATATTAGGTCACTTTTCTAAGGTGGCCCTCTAATGTGTGTGCTTAAAGAATCATTGCCAAATTCTTCCTACGTCACAGGAATCCTCGAAGGCTTGCCAATGCCTATGATACTCAAGGGGGCTTCTCGGAAAGCATTCTCATAGGTTTTTCATAAAGGAAAACAGCTGAAGGTTTCCCATCATCACAGCAGAGCACCTCATTATCTGTGGCCAGTAAGGTGAACACTTTGCTGTACAGTTTTCCGAATTTCTTTTGTTTTTTAAATGTGTGATTTCCCAGAAGAAAGACTGAAAAGACTGACATCACTAAAGACCATTACCACATGACCAATATTCTACCCACCAGGTTCTTTCCAACACAGCATCTTTGGGGCACAGTACAAGAAGTGAGCTAAAAAGCATTATCACACAGATGTCTCTGCCAAGAGATTCAACAATTTACTGAGTGTCACTTTCTACGGATTAAAAGGATCAAGATCTATTGAAGACTTCATTAATTTCATGGTGAGGTTCTTAGATGATTCTCAGAGAGATGTCTTCAGATATCACACAGTTTTCTCCCATGTTTTACCAAGGCTGGTTTGTATCTGACGAGTGCAATAGGGAACGTGTGAAGCTATAGCTTTTGGAGGTGAGGTCATAAAAGATACTTCATTTGTTAGCTGGTTTCTCTTGGAACACTTGGGGAGAGGTTCTTCTTTTGCCATATTATAAAGAAACATAATCATGAGCAGATGCCGATACGGTGAGTCGGTGAAGGTCTCCTGTCAATAACCAGCAGTAAATTCCCAGGCATGTGATGAGCCATCATACAAGTTGCTCCTTCGATAACAACTTTAGATGAATCTTTCAACAAAAGATTCATTTGTTGAATATAAGCTCATGAGAAGTCCTGCGGAAGAACTACATGACTAAGGTTCCCTTATATTCCTGACCTATAAAATGTGAGGTATTTGTTTAAAGCCACAAAATGTGAGGTGAGCATATATTACACAGCAATAGATAATTTGTACTCCTGATATAAATTCTCTCAAGTTATATTAGGACCAACAAAGTTTTCTCTCAGTAATTTCTCACCACAATTCATATCCACCTGTTGTGCACTCTTTTGTGCACAGAGAGGTAGGAGTTACTGGTGAAAGATTTTCCACAATGGTTGCACCCATAGGGCTTTTGGCCAGTATGAGTCATTAAGTGCTTCTTCACAGCCGAGAGGTTATTAAAAGCTTTTCCACAGTGACTGCACTCATATGGCTTCTCTCCAGTGTGGATTCTCTTGTGTACAGTGAGAGAAAAGTTACTGCTGAAGCACTTTCCACACTCATTACACTCATAGGGCTTCTCTCCAGTGTGAGTTCTCAAGTGCTGGGTCAGATACGAGCTTTTCCTGAAAGTTTTCCCACAATCATGGCACTCGAAGGGTTTTTCTCCAGTATGGATGCTATTATGCCCAGTGAGAGAGGACCTTGTACTGAAGGCCTTTCCACATTGAGTACATTCATGGTGATTCTCGCCCCCTGTGTGGATTCTCTTGTGGCTTTTGAGGTTACAACTGGTACGGAAGACATGAAAACACTGGTTACATTCATAGGGCTTTTCCCCAGTGTGAATTCTTATGTGAAGTCTGAGGGATGAGGGATCACTAAATGCTTTCCCACAGTAATTGCATTCAAATGGTTTTTCCCCATTATGGATTCTTCTGTGTACGATAAGATAAGATTTACTGCGAAAGGACTTTCCACACTGACTACAGTCATAGGGTTTTTCTCCAGTATGAATTCTCTTGTGCTGAGTAAGGTTAGATTTTGTGCTGAAGACTTTAAAACATTGATTGCATTCATTTATTTTCATTCCATGATGATCTTTTTCCTGTTAATTAGGACATAAATTGTATCTATAATTAATAATATTAATAATGTATCATCCCTCTCTTAGAAAATCTACAACATTATAAAATGGTTTGGCTTTTCTCAGTACTTATATATGACTTCTGCTTAGTTTGAGCTTGTTCAAAGTTACAGCCATTTGGCTATAAATCCTTATATCCAAAAACATTTTCTGACAAATTTAGGACCATTATGTTTCAAACACCCAACACCCGATTCACACTTAATGAAATGGGAACTTGTAGGAACCGTCAGTGAAGAAATGTTGAAGTTGGCTTAATCTTTTCCTCTAGCAAAATATCATATCCCACAGTATCGTTCGAGACTCAAGTTTAAATGATAATGTTCATATTGACTCCCTTGGTTTTCTCTTTTCTAACATGGGAAAACTAGGAATCATCACCTCCGGTTTTCCTGTTCTCTGGCCATTCGCATGCAGTTTTCCAAAAGTGTGTTTCTTAGGAGCCAGCCATTTGACTTTCAGCACAGGCTCCAAATCTGAAACAAGTTAAAAAGAAAATAAGTTAATGGAAGAAAAAAGAAAGATGGTGACATGCATACATGATTTATGGAAGAATCTGAGAGGTCAGAATATTTGGTAAAGACGGGAAAGAAGGGGGATTTAGTTCTGGAAATTTTAGGAGTTAAAGAAAATATATTCTAGACATATATTGAGACTGATAAAAAATGGACAAAACAAATTATCAAAAATGGAAACTGTGACTTAAATTTAAAATTATTTTTTTATTTTTAATTGTGTTTAAGTTTGTATATATTGATGTCTGTGGTAAACAGAGGGGTTGGGGTCCCCTGGTGCTAGAATTATAGGCAGGTGTGAATCTTCCTGAATGGTTGCTGGTAACTGAACTCTGGTCCTCTCAAAGTTAACCTTGGCCCATCTCTCCAGCCAGTGACTTAAAATTTAAAATACAAAGAACTGCATCTTTGTTTTTCCTTCCCAGGCCAAAGTATGAGATGACAAATGCTGAGCTGAGAGAAGAGTAAAGACAGGGTAGCTCATGCCGATGTTCATGTCTACCTTCGTCGGGGTAAAGGCTACATTTCACTCCTGCTTCCCACGTCACAGTCACTTCCCAGAGAGCCCAGGCCACTTGTGCTCACCTGGACAGATGTCTGGAACACTTCCTCTGACCTCTCTTATAACCTCTTCTTGCTCCAACTGGGATATCAGATTTGGTTTATCAAGGCACCGCCCTATTTGTGGAGAAAATACATGTAATGTTAGGGAAATTATTCAAGGGTTATGCAAATATATAAACCTGAAGCCAAACTTCTGAAGATAAAAAATGTGACTTTGGCAGCAGTGGAATTTTGTCTAAATTCCCAAGAACACAGTAACTTTCATAAAAAAAAACTAAGTATCTCTACATCAATTTTCAAAGTAATGGGACTTTAATAATCCCAGATGTGCATGCCTAAGTTCAAATATCCACTTAAAAGGCCCTTAAAGTTTGAATGATGGAGAATATAAAGTCAGGACAAGAGAGAAAAAAGAAAATCATCTTTCAAGGAAGACATTAGACAGAAAGTTCCAAAAAGAAAATGGGCCACATCTGTTTTCACCACTGTGCTTCAAAATCCCTATTCACATGTCAGGAGGTAAAAGTGCTTAAAAGGTCTTATAAAATTGAGAAAGAATTTGGTGAAAAGGTGAACTCTAAACCCCCACTCCAACAAAAATAGTAAGTAAACTTAATAGAAATGAATTACCTTTCCAGAACTATAAACTTCAAAACAAATATCTATTAGTATAATGTTTAGTTATGGAAACAAACTTTAAATAACACACCCCCAAATAAGTCTGAGTAAGAGGACTTCAGGCCATTTTCAACGGACTCACATCCATCTTTGTTCTGATTGTGTACCCGAAGAGGGCAGAAAGCATTGCTTGTCCTATAGGGTGCAGAAGAGACCTTTGTCTATATTTTCTTTTGTCCCCCAGGGATGTCCCACAAGACTGGCTTAAAGGGTTTTTCTTTATTTGTTTAACTCCAAAGTCAGACACACATATGACAAACACATTTATAGATCTATGTGTAAGAAAAAACGTTAGACACAAACAAACACTAACAAAAAGGCAGGGAGGAAAGTAGACTAAAAGATGTTTGCTTAGAAGGGTATCACAAAGGTAATGTTTTCCAGAATCAAGATTGTTACAGACACAACCAAGGCACACTCAGAAAAGACCTTACTAGGTGCACATTTCTGGGTCATCTCTGACTCTGCATGAAGCAGCAGGGCAAGGCAGTATTAGAAACCATCTCGCTTAGTTTTAGTTACAGTTTCAGTTTTTTATGCCCTCATGTAAACACAAAGTTCATTTGAATAAATTAAGAAGTTTAGGTTTTTGGTTTTACGACTTTAAGAAATATGTGACAAAATGCCTGTGATTACACCTGATAGATATGGACACTGAAAATAAGTTTTGAAACATCAGTAATGCTATATACAATGGCATGATAACCCCACAGATGGAGATAAATCAGACTCCAGAATTGCAGCACAGATTGAGTAACCTAATGCAAATCCAAAATGCTCTAAACTCCAAACCTAGTTTTTAAACCTTCATTATTGATAACTGCATACGTGAATACAACAAGACATGATCACATTTATATCCTCCTCAATAGGTCCCCCTCTCAACTTCACCTCTCTCAATTTCCATGATCTGCCACTAGCTCCCCAGTAAGGGGTAGGACCTAGATATCATCTATCCCAACTATGAAGGAATTTGGCTGGCTTGATCTCATGCATGTTTTGTTCAAGTAACCACAGCTGCTGTGAGTTCCCAAGTGTGCCAGCCACGTCATCCAGGAAGCCATATTTCACAGCATTCTCCTCTATCCTCCACATTTTAGGTGCTTCCCACTGCCTCTTCTGTGACAGAAAGCCTTAGGGGGATAGTGGTAATATACATCTCCCATTTAGAAAAGGGAAATGGGTACTGAGTCTCTCTCTCTCTCTCTCTCTCTCTCTCTCTCTCTCTCTCTCTCTCTCTCTTTTCTTATTGTCTATCTCTTTTTTTAAATTAATTTTTATTGAGCTCTACATTTTTTTTCTGCTCCCCTCCCTGCCTCTTCCCTTCCCCCTCCAGCCTTCCCCCAAGGTCCACATGCTCCCACCAGGATGATCCCAGCTAGGACCCCGGTACAATGGTATGATGACTAAGGATCTCAGAAGTTGTGGAGTGGAGCTAGGACAAGCTCTGTGTGCTGCAGACGGTAGAACTCAAGATATAATCCAAGCCCTTTGGAGAAGCCCAGGGTGCTGTGAGTGGATCAGAGGAATCAAGCACCTAACTTTATACTGCTGAACTTTGGTTTTGTTCTGCTTTGATTATAACTGTGCCATAATTCTGCCCACATGGAGTTAAGAAAGTGTGTTATTCTCTTTTAACTTTACAGAGTTCACAGTTTTGAGAGATATTAAATTTTTCAAGTGACTTTGGAGTTTTAGAGACACTATGGATATTTTAGATATATTTTGAATATTTTTGAGAAACTCTGAACTTTGAAAGAGACTTTCTATATATTTTAAAGATATTTAAAGCAACTGGGCTTAGGAAGGGAACTTATAAAGACTGTGGGACTTTTAAAAGTTGGAAGGTTTTATATATGATAATATTAAAATGAGATCTTGAAGATTAACAAGAAAGTAAAAAGTTACAGTTGTGATGTGCTTGTATGTTAAGCTGACAAGGGGTCAACTGTACTGGCAAGCTTTATGTCAACAGGACACAGTTAGAGAAACTTTGGGAGAGGTAATTTCAACTGGGAAAATGCCCCTATCAGATAAGTCTCTGGTGTATATTCTCGACTGATGATTGATAGGGCCCAATTCCCTGAGGGTGGTGCCACTACTGGGGTGGTGTTCAGGCTGCTATAAGGCTGAGTAAGCCATGAGGAGCTTAGTAAACAGCACTACTTCATGGCTTCTTTACTTGTTCCTGCCTTCGGTTTCTGCCCTGAGTTCTTCTCCAGGTTTCCATCAGTGATGGTCTTACGAACTATAAGGTGGAAAACCTTGTTCCTCCCCAAATTGCTTTTGGTCACAGTTTTATCAGAACAATAAAAACCCTAACTAAGACTGAGAAAATGAAAAGATGCATAATAGAGAAATTGGTAAGAAACTGTAATTTGAAAGGTCATTAGAATCCAAAATACCTACCAAGTTCTCATGCTCTAACAAAAATACTAGCCACCCAAATGGACAAAGGACTTCAATGGACATTTTTCACAGTTTAATAGTTAACAAGAACAAGCAAAGATGCTCAACATCACTACTTATTAGGAAAATGCAAATCAAAGCAACAGGTACCACTTCACTGCCATCGGCATGACTATAAACAAAAGAAAATGTTGTAGACATATTAGTGTGACTGTATAATTGGGCAGATGCCACAAAAGACTTTGAGAGTTCATAATAAAACAAAAGAACCCCAGAAATATCACAAGAAATAACAGCAAATGTTTAAGCTAATGTACAAATATTCATAACAATATTATTCAAAATAGCCAAAAAATAAAAAGTATACAAATGTTTATCAACTAATTAATACTAGAACCATAATACTAGTCATTACTATGAATGAAATCCTGGTATATGTTACACCATAGCTAAACCTTTAAAATACAGTATTTGAAAGCAGATTAATGATAACCAGGAGCAGTAGCTAAGGTTTGAGAGTTACGTTAGCAAATTCTACATATGTTCTTTCATACACAGTTTCTATCCTCACGGTTTTTGCTTTGTATCATTTTTTTAAGATTTATTTATTATGTATACAATGGTCTGTATCCATGCAGACAGAAGTTGGCACCAGATCTTATTACCAGTGGTTGTAAACCACATATGGTTGCTAGGAATTGAACTCAGGACCTCTGGAAGAGCAGTCAATGCTCTTAACCACTGAGCCATCTCTCCAGCCCCTTGTTTTGTATCTTTAAACCAGGACATATGTGGAAGCTAGGAACTGAATATTTGCCTCTGGGGGTGAATGTCTTCAGGGAAGGGGAGGAGGGGAAATAGTAAAATAGAAGTAAAATGGAAATAGAAAACAGAATATGAGGAGAGAAAAGATCAAGCTGAGTAGGGAATGGGGAAATGAGGTGTTAGCAGGAGTCCTAACTAAATGAAGGGTACATGAAAAGCCATATGGAGCGGGGAGGTGGTGGTGCACGTCTTTAGTCCCAGCACTTGGAAGGCTGAGGCAGGTGAATATCTGAGTTCAAGGGAAGTCTAATCTAGAGTGAGTTTCAGGACAGCCATGGCTAAATAGAGAAACCCCGTCTCAAAACAAAATAAAACATACACAACACAACAAAAACCCCCAAACCAAAAAAACAACCCCTTCCCCAAAAGCTATAAGGAAACCTACTATCTTTTAACCCAAGGGGGAAGGGACAAAACTGCAATTAGAGGGAATAGTTGGACACAGGTGACATGAAAGAACATGGGAGATACACTCGGGAAGTGGAGACATATGATTGGGAAGAGGAAATGGTGGGTGCGGGTGCATTAGGCAAACTAGGATCTATGAAGAAGCTCTGTGGTGGTTTCAATGAGTGACTCTATAGGCTCATATGCTTGAATGCTTGGTTCTCAGTTGGGGGTTGGGAAGGATTGAGAGGTGCGGCCTTGCTGAAGCAGTTCTGTCACTAGGGGTGGGCTAGGCCCCATCTCTCACTCTCTGCCTCCATCTTGCAGATGATATAAGCTCGCAGCGACTACCAGGGCCATGCTTGCCTGCTTACCTGCCACTGTGCTATGCTCCATGATAGTCATGGAATAACCCTCTGAAACTGCAAGCAAACTCCCAATTAAATGTTTTCTTTTATAAGTGGCCTTTGTCACAATGTCTCTTCATAATGATAGAACAGTTTGCAAGCTGATACATATATACATACTAGAGTTTGAACAGAAGTATGCTGCATAGGTGGAAATCTTAGTGCCAGGCATCAAACACCTCCATAGAAGTTATTGGTCAGAGGCCTCAGAGGCTATGGCCACTGTTTACTTGCCCACTACAACTAGACAATAAGACCCCCCTGCTGAAGACACCACTCACTTTGAATGCACACACAAAAAAAATCACCCTTAAAATGATCAGGAACTTCTTTTACTGATGAATAGGTTGTACAGTGCCAGAAGGTGCTATGCAGGTTGCTGTTGGAGAAGAGACATCAGTGGTCTTACCCAGTGCTAGACCCTGCATGCTGTAATACTTGGATGGCAAAGAAGTGCCCATTTGTGCAACAGTGATTGGTATGATGGTTATACAGTTAACTGCTTTCTGAGTGGATATTAGGACACTTCACAGAAGAGATTTCATGCCTGGTACTGTAAACCTGGTCAAAAGCCCATGACTGGAGAAATCACAGATCCTAGGAAGGAACATACTTGTGTTTTACTAAATGGTTATGGTGTCAAATTGCACTCTAAATATTTATGTTTATATCCATAGATCTGTTCTTCTCTTGACTTTGTTCAGAGAAGCTTCTTTCTGCCTTGGGCAGTAGTTAACACAGAGAAACAGAACTGATTAAAGTGACAAGGGTCATCTGTACCCACTCCCCACCATCTGAGGTTCATGATGGAGATACTGGCCTGACCATATTTATTACCACAGCTATATGGAGTTTCAGGGTCCCTGCCACCACCAAGAAGCATGCTATGGGCTATTCATCAACACCATTTAAGTGTTTGGTGGTGGGGTCTCTTAAAAGAGCTGCAAGTTTTTTTTTTTAAGCTAAAGCTGAGTCAGGAAACCTCTCTTAAATGAGATGTGCTTGTCTCTAGCAAATAGAGCCCATATGAGAAAATGCTGCTACCAAAATGCTTAACTCTGCTTTGTGTTTAGAATGTAGTTGTCTACATTGGCACCATTTTGTTGACAGAGGTTTCTGTCCTGCTCAGTCCCCTAGTCTTTCAGTCCCAAAGAAACACACAGAGGTCTTCATTAATTATAAACCGCTTGGCCTACTAGCTCAGGCTTCTTAAGTCTTACATCCTATATTAGCCCATAATTCTTGTCTGTGTTAGCCACGTGGCTTGGTACCTTTTATCAGCAAGGCATCTCATCTTGCTTCTATTGTGTCTGGGTGAGGACTGCAGACTGACTGTTTCCTCTTCCCAGAATTCTTCTGTTCTCACCACCCCACCTCTACTTCCTGCCTGGTCACTTTGCCTATACTTCCTGCCTGGCTAATGACCAATCAGCGTTTTATTAAAATAATACAAGTGACAGGATACAAGACCATTGTCCCACAGCAGTCATCTACACCCACTCCCCACCATCCAAGGCTCACTGAACTTAAGTCGATGAGGGGCCAGAAATAATGTAGGAACTATGAGATTGAGGGGTGATGATGACATGCTGATTTCTGGATATGACATGGCCATTGCATGTATCAGCTCATAACAGATGTAGTTACCTAGGCAAGATCAAGCCAGTCAAAATGACAGCATAGCTGGAGGAAGGTCCCCAAGGCCTTACCCAGGTCTACTGGATAAGCCGTTGGCAATTAGCTTGCTCATGCTGGAGTGGATGGCCACATACCCAGGCATCACTAATTACTCAGGGGGTTATTAATGACAAAACAAACAGACAGACAAAAACAGAAAGAGGACGTAAAGTTGAAAGGGAGTGGGAGAATTTAGAGAAGGTGGAAGGAGGCAGTGATGGATGTTATCAATATACATTGAACACACATATGAAACTTTCAAAGAACACACACACACACTCATAACCCACAGAGTTGTCTTAGTCTCTTGTCTTATGCTGTAACAAAACATTGTGACTAAGTACTTTATAAGGGAAAGAGGCCTATTTTGGCTCAAGATCTTGGTACTCAGAAAGTCCAAACAGCATGGCACTTGCATTTGGAGAAGGCCCCTGGCTTTGTCCCAGTATGCTAGGGAAGGGCTAGAGAGACTTAGAAGTGTATACTGTTCTTACAGAGGATTCAGCTTCAAACTGCAGCACTTATACCTAGCAGTTCACAACTGCCTATAAATCTAGCTCCAGAAGGATGTGACACCTCTGGCCCGCATGGTCACTGACACTCATATACACAAGGCACACATGTACACATAATTAAAAACAATAAAATAAGTGCTCTTTTGCTATTTAAAAAAGGTTAATATGGTGGAGAAGTAGAAGGAGAATCAGCTCTATGAAGAAGACCTAAGCAAGTGGGTTGCCTCCCTCTACAATAACCCATTAATTTTCATAAAAGAAAATTAACTTGGCCCACAAGACCTGGCTGACTCCCGGGAAACAGCATGCATCCATTCTGAGGTCCGTCTCTTGATCTTGATACCTTCCAGTGTGCCCCACTATTATAGTTCCCGCTACTTCAACATTGCCTTTCACAGAGGACTAAATTTCTAGCACGTAAACCTTGGGAGGCTAACCCAAAACCCAGCAGAAGTAATGAAATGTTCTGAAATTACACTGCGGTACAACATGATAAATAAACTAAAAGCCACTCAACTGTGTACTTCAAAATGATTCAAACACTGTTTTATACCAATAAACAACCTGGGCTGAAAGCTCGCCCGAGTTATTAAATCAATGCCGCACAAGGCTGACGGGGGGCTTACCAAGTGAGGCCAGGTTCTTCCAGTTTTCCAGCATTACCTTCCGGTACAGAGTTCTTTGTAAAGGGTCCAGCAAAGCCCACTCCTCCTCTGTGAACTGCACAGTCACATCTTCGAATGACACCAACTCCTAAATCATTCACACATTACAGCTTAGCCAAGCACCCCATCAAAGACAAGGAGAAGAGAGCCCAAGGGGGCAGCCCCACAGATGAACCCAGAGCACAGATGTGTAGGCAAGCCGAATTCCATCTGTCTTGGTTTCTGAGCTTAGTGCCCTGGCTCTTCTCCTGTCTACTGCCCATCTCCCAAAGTTCCTTTCTCTTTCCATACAGACTCAAGCTCCTAAAATCTCATTTCCTAAGGGCTGAGCACAGGCCTGGTATAATCCACAAAGAGGAGAAACAAATGTTACATAAATGAATAATTACCGCATGCTGTGATAAATTGCCTGAAAGAAAGACAGTCTGAAGGCGTAAGTCACGAACAAGGCAACACCAGTTTGGAGTTATGATTAATAGGGTGTTATTTATTTAAAGGGGAAAAAACTTACAGATCACAATCCCAGACAACAGCCATCTGCGCAACCAGGAAGGGAGTCTCGTCTCCAGCCGAGCAGGAAGAGAAGAGAGCGAGCAGAGGAAATAGCCGCTTTTTTAAAGGGAGTGAGACCACGCCCCAATGGGCTGGTATCACAGCAGCTATTGGTTGGAGGGGCGGAAAGACCTCCCGCAACACCTCCCCCTTTTATTTAAGTAAGAGAGTTCTAAACCTACTATGAAATTATATACAATAAGTACAAATATCCTATTCTAACTAGCTTAGGTCTTGTATAATAAATAACTTGGCCAAGTCGTGAGAAAAAGGTAACTACATTTATATAGTCTTCAACCCCATCAAAGATCTGAGAAGGGAAATAATGTTAACTGGGTAATTAGGAAGTTCAGTAAAACAACTTCCAAAACATGCAACAAATCACAGAGACAACTAGCTACCTGGGCAATCACCCAAAGTCATGTTTG